TCTTGTAGATTAACATTTTTAGTCTATTTGAAAACTTTATTATTTTTTTACATGTTATTGCACATGTTTTGCACATGAAAGCTGACATTCTATTTGATTGAGCTACCGAGTCAAATGGTAGAGCAACAGCGCGGAACGCTGACGATGCCGGTTCAAGTCCTGCCCGAGTCGAGAATTTTTTCAATTTGGTTTCGATTAAATACTGTCTATAGTTTACGTGAGTATACACATTTAAATAAACCACGGTTTCAAACGCGATATATTAGTTAAACTTATTTGATATATCAAATAAGTTTAACTAATATATCGCGTTTTAAACCGTTAAAGCGTTTTATTTTAATTGGTTTCGATTTTAAAATTTTTAGACTATACAAATATAAATAAGTACAAGTCATAAAATTGCAGTTAGGCTACTCTGACTCTAACCGCAATTGTATTCACTATTATTGTGGCGTGACAGTCCGTATCGTAACTTAAAGGGCGTGAGGGGATATATTAAAAAACAAAATAAACTTACATCCTCACGTAGTAGGCACACTGATTGTAAGAATATTAATTACTTCTATCGCACTGCACTCGCGGAATCTATTGAAGAATACGGCGTTTAAACTTATACACTTAATTGGCAGACAAAAATACAAAATTAAAAATTGTCCACAAACAACTCGCGCGAACGTATCCCAAAAGCGACTGCTAGCGCGTATTACCTTCGTTCGGCCGTCGTATCTAAAAACTAAACTACCCTCTAATTTTTTTTCAATTCTATATTTTAAAGGTTGAAAAGACGAAATATATTAAACCGACGTTTTTAATTGTTTTGCACTTTGCAGCACTCATGGTCACGGGGGACGAAAGATAGCGGTGTCTCTAATGTCAGATCTGAAACGATAATTAAAATTTTTACTACTCTCGTAAACTACTAACATATTAGCCCGACGTTTCGGATGCTTTGCACTTTGCAGCGGCCGTGATCACTGTGGGCGGAAGATGACGGGTGTCCCTTGAAATCGGAAACGTCGGGACGTATTTAAAATATTGTAATTGTAAATAAGATAACGAGTATATTTCACGTTGAAAACGGTTGAAAGTGTTTTAATTAAATGTTTAAATAACACGAAACACTAATTTCCTTACCTACCTTCCATTTTCAGGTATCCAACTATCACTCAGCTTTTCGTATGATAAGTTGGTGAAGCAGTACTACTTGAGTCACCCCTTCCAAATACCCAATAGGACAAGGGTTGTCGACTTGGACAATATGCGCGACTGTAGATGTCCTCGCGTTTACTGGCCGGCATGCAGTACAGACCATATAACTTATGTCAACGGCTGTATTCTGAACTGCCGGGAGAAAACACTGTACCGTTTCGGGCCATGCATTACGTACAGACGGCGGGAGGGGAAGGTCCTTCACATATATATACCGAGTGCTTGGAAGATTAAACATTGAGAATCGATGCCACAGGTCTCAAAACGACAAAACCTACCGTGTCGCTGTTAATAAAAATGGTAAATAAAATAAGTTCACTAATATATTGCCCATTTTAAACCAGTTAAAATGTTCTATTTAAACGTGTACTAGTGGGGTAAGCTACAGACATAAAAATATTGAACATTTTTAAAGCAGGCTTTCCCATTTCTCCACAGCTACTGGATTTGTTTTTTTATATAGGCTATATTTTAACTTATTTGATATGTTTTATTTTGCATTGATATAAAAATTTACTTCACTGTCACAAAACCTTTACTACGGTGATAAAAGCAAAAATCATAGTTAATTTCGCGTTTTAAACCGTCAAAAATTATTTATTTTAACGTTTGCTAGTGGCGTTAACTATCGCCTCTGTAGCCAACTGGTTAAACGTATTGCCTAGCATTGCGTTATGCGCGAGAGGTCCGGAGTTCGAATCCCAGGGGAAAAAAAGTTGTTCCAGCCGGGTAGGGCACAGAAGTCTGATCAAAAAAGAACGGATCAGTGAAAGGGACACAGAAATGTGTTCGCCCCACACCCCACGAGGGGGAAACGGGATTTCACGGATTTCACACGCACAGTGGCGTTATCTACAGACAAGAAAATAATTGAATATTCTCAAAAAACAAGATGACACGTTTTTCCCGGGCCACTAAAAACTTATTTTTTAATATTTTGACTCTCAAAGACTGCGTTGTAATTTATTCAATACCTTTTATTTAAATAAAAAATGTTTATTGTCACTCTCGTTTTATGTATTCGGTTTGGTAGTTTAATTTGGTGATAATAGCAAAAAATCATGTTTAAAATACTTACAGGCGAAATTACACATTTTTTTATATTGCGTGTTGTAGACTATTGTTCCCTAGAATGATTTATTAGAAAACACATGCCTAGAATTACTCAGTTATAGTAGTTTTTACAGTCCTTAAATTCGTAAATAAACCGAAATCCTGACATTGTACATTGTACAGACATTTTATATTGAACCTTTTATTTTCTCAGAAGCTCATAACATAAGGGTTCGTTTGAAGTTAATAAAAAGTGTTCTGTTCTTTAGTACTTTTATTTGCGCTGTAACACGTCGCTAAATTAAATAAGGCTGTACTTCATAATATTCTTTGACTAGGGTGACCATTAAAAAATTCCTTAGTAGATAATTGTAAAAATTAAAATCCGAATTTCCAAAGCAAAAATAGATCGACAGTGCATCTTTTTTTAGATGTTATTAGGCTGGGGTATTTTCCTTAATTTTATTATTCGGTTGATTATTAGCAATAGATTACTCCCATTAGACCTATCTCCGATCGATCGACCGATCTTGACCGCCTCTGTAGCTAAATGGTGCGTTAAGCATGAGAAGTTCTGGGTTCGAATCCCGGGAACACAATTACATTGTTTCAGTGGAGCAAGGCACAGAAGTCTGATCAATTATTTGCCTGTCAATGAAACAAACTCAGAAATGTCTTTGTCCCATGCCTCACGGGGGAAATGGGATTTCACTTATTCGAACGATCAGCCAGTTAGTCCTACAAAATGCACAAAATCTGTAAATAAAATATTGTCACCCTTTGGTGTATGTATTATTTTTATGGTACTAACACCATGCTGAAGTCAGAGGTCTTTTATAAAGGCGAATGAAGGGGACAATTATTTCTCATAAATACGTTTTTGATTAGGAATTTGGATCACTGAAGAGACTTTTAATGTTTGCACCAATTATAAATGAGAGCATATTTCTGGTGATGCATAAGTAGATAAAAAACAAATGTATTTTCCTATTTCTTTTTCGACTACCAAAGTTAATAATAATAATAATAATAAAACACTTTATTGCACAAACAAATAAAATACAGATATAGTAAAACTAAAATAATTATTTACATAAAAGTTATGTAAGGTTGTATAGAAACTACCAACTTCTTATTACGTTGGTACTATATAGATTAAAAATTGAAAATAAATTGCTCGAGAGGTGCATGTATCGATAATAGAAAATCGACTATGAGGTGTATGACTCGGTTGCTCAATTGGTTAGAGCAACACCACGAAGAGCTGACGATGCCGGTTCAAGTCCTGCCCGAGTCGAAAATGTTTTCAATTGTTTTCATGATTTTTAATATATAGAACCTTTTATTAATCATTTGTTTGCAGTTTTTACGTTTATACTCAATCTTTTAATAACTGTCTTTAAAAAAACAAGGACTTTTTATCTATACTAAAAGCTGAATAGTTTGTTTGAACACGCTAATCTCAGGAACTACTGGTTTGAATTGAATTTTTTGGTGTTGCTTAGATCATTTATCGAGGAAGGCTACAGGTAATAAAACATTACGCTGTGACTAATAGGAGCAAAGAAAAAGCGAGAAATGTGGAAAAAATTGGGTAAACTATTATTTTTTGTTGTTTCCGATGCGATAGATATTAAAATACTGAAAAATATGTATGAATAAACGAATTCTCTTTAAATGTAGTGAAAGTCCGCAACAGTATATGTCTATCTTTTAAAAGTAACTAGCAAGGACGACGTCGTGAGTAAAAGTTATAAGAATGAGAAATAGGTTTGTCAAAGAATATTTGGTGTCTAAAAAAACTATTCTATATGCGAACGAAGTCGCTGACACAGCTAGTGATAGTATATAACACAGTTGTAGCTGCGTTGTGGCCTAGTATATAATGACTGGATATGAAAATCACGCTAATTTACAAAGAAGCCAGCAAGTTATGTAATTAAGTGCACCCAACACAGTTAATTAAGCGTTATACAAGCGTCTAATTATCGAGAAATTAATTTTCAAAGGAAATTCATTTACCGCTAAATCCATCATGTGCGAGATCGCTAGAATAATTACATATTTATCTTGCGTTGGTAAGCTCAGTTTATGAAGATAATTAGCTTGAAAATAGATTTGAAAGGAAGAAAACGTGCATGGTTTACTCAATCTAAAGGACGATTTCTTGCCAAAATACCGATACAAACCCTTTTGAACGGTTTTAAGCGCTAAATGAATATTTAACATTTTGGATCCACGTATATAATAAAAAATAAATCACCATAACGGGACAACAGTTAGCGAGGACTATGTTAGTTTTGTAAATACCCAGCTAGTATCGATTATCAACTACGAAAGAAAATTAGTAAGAAGTTGGCGCTAGTGTAGCAATTTGGACTCTGTCATAACACCTTTAATATTTAGTTCTTGTGGGTTGTTCCACGGCTGCTGCAAAGCATCAGAAATGGTGGTTTGTAGTTAAAGATAAATTAGCTAACACTTTTCATGTTTTAAACCGTTAAAAGCGATTTAATGAGGGAATTCACACTTTATCATACAAATACATGTTATCAAACATGATGGCATTGTATAATTTTAAAATCAATTGATTGTAATTACATTGCTGTTATTGTGTTGTATTAAAGAAATTTAATAAGAACGAGCGAGACACGGTACTCAATTGTTTAGAGCAGCATGGCTGTGGGGTGCCGGTTTAAGATCCGCCTGTGTCATAATTTTTTTCACGATCTAAAACAATGTTGGTAATTAATAGAACACTCGTATCGTATTTTAATACAGTTTTTATTGCAGCTTTGTTCGTCTATGTATCCGCACAGTACGCATACACCCCACGCGTGTTCTTCACCAAGTTCTTCAATTTACTATCTGTGGACGTGCCACAAATGAAGGACGCGTTCGTCAAGAAGAACTGCAGTACGTGCCCCGGGGTTTACTACCCCGTATGTGGGACAGATAACCAAACCTACTTGAACGAGTGCAAATTGCACTGCCTCAATAAACGTATGAATAAGAAAAAGCCAGTCGAAATGGTCAGGACCGGTCCGTGCTTCGTCTTTCCGGAGTTGAATGCGGAATAAATAAATAAATAAAAATATGTTTATCGTCTACTTCCTTTTTTTCCTACCAGCTTGTCCAAATTCTATGTATGTGTTTGTTTGAAAGATTCATCGTGTTACTATAGTTATTTTGGGCATCAGAACATGTCTAATCTCCTGCTCAATTTATCAATTATAATAGCAAGACAATCTACAAAGATATACATATCATTTAACGAGATATCATTTTTTCATACGTATTTTTCAAACATTAATATTTCTTCCCCTGTATTTCGAAATTACTCGCAACTTGATCTTTTATAGTCTAATTTATTTATTTTTTTAAATGCTTAATACGAAATACGAAATGAAACTTTAAATTTGAACTAGTAGTTCCTGAGATTATCGCGTTGAAATAAACAAACATCTTCAGTTTTATAATATTATTATTTAAAACTGATCCATAGAAAACTCTTGGGCAAAAGGGGGAGGAGTATCTTGGGCCCAACTCTCTTATTGGAAAGTAGACTTTGAAACGTGAGTTGTCAATGACTCTCGTGAAACTTAGATTAAAAAATCCTTACGAATTGAACCAATTAAGAATCCTTATCACTCATAATAAAAGTTAATTAAACTTCTTTATAAAACAGGTGTTTCATACTTGGCTTAACGTTTGACAATACGATGCGGCGATATTGTAAGTTGACTGGTTTTAATTAAAACATTTTGTCAATTTTAAATGTACATTGGCTTTCAATGCCTTTTATTGTGTTTACAAACAATAAGAACAGTATTTGTTGTTCTAAGATAATAACAATAATATTTCAAGTCGCAATTTGTTCTACGCTTAGGTATTTCTCTTTGTGTTGTGGAACGCGTTACGTTCAAGCGCGATAAGGTCTGAGTTCGAGTCCGTGAAAACATTATCATTTTATGAAAGTTGATTCGATAGAGTAACGTTTCAGTAACACAGTGGTGAAGTAAAATTGAGTTTTAATTTCGTAATACCTTAGTTCTTTTATCCGAACCAAATAACATCTAAAGATGATGTGTTGTCGACTTATTAAATATAGCGGGCTAAAGACGGATGTAACTGTTTAATTGCTTTAATGTAAGTAAAAATTTATATTTCTAGGTTTTTAACATTATTTATGTAAACTCAAGGTAAGTTTAGTCGTATATTGCTTTTTTCTTACAAGTGTACAATAAAGCAAAGTAATAAACAGTCTATTGTACAAACAAAGAATAGGTCCTGAGTTATTCGTACTTTCGAAATTTTTGAAGCTTGTGACGAAATGTTGCTCAACAAAAATTGTTTCTGCCAAAAGTTCTGAATACGCTACAATCGGTGGGAATAATCCGGTTAATCGGATTTAAAATGTCGTCTGACCTCAAACCTGAGGGCAGAGTTAAAACAAAGGCAGTTGCTTAAGAAAAAACGCCACGTATTTATGATAGAAGAGAACTGATAATCACGGGGCTTACTTCATGTAAGGTTCAATACCCTAGCTATATATCGCGACATACCAAGAAATCCACTAACTGAAAAAAATATACATCGATTAGAAACATCTTGGTCCTTATGGGGATCGCACTTACGATTACCAGATTACTAGCTACACATTGCTTGCTACCATAAGATCAACGAGCTCGTCAAATTAAAATTCTAGTTTATCTTCTTTGTCTATTTTAATGTAACGGTAAAACAATATTTCGAATTATTACTTGTGTGTAATGTTTGTAGACATAAAAATCACTACAAAAAATATTTTTGCTTTTTAATATTTTCAAAACTTTATCTAATGATATTTAAATCTCATTTTCCAAAAAACTATTATAAGACACTCTTATATAATATTTTATTACAACTGCTATTTTTGATTAACTTCTACAACCAAATTGCAATTTACAATACTGTTTAAAACTATTCTGTGGCGAGTCGGTCTATTACTTTCCATTCTGTTAGTCTGTACAATGCTGGCGAATAATCGGGCTTTTTCAGCGGAAAACTTTCAAACTAGGTCATCGTTTAGTGTTTAAGTTTAGATTTTACAGTCGTATTTTTATTTCATTACATTCCTCATTCAGCTGCGTATTTTCTAACTTTCAAATAACCTAAACTTTCGGAATACGCAAACTTTGGAGTTTTTCTATTTCTAGGTAAGAGCATCGATCAAATGGCGTTCTTTTTCCTTCCTAGACTAATTAAAGTTTGTTGGCCGTGTCTATTGGAATAAACTAAGTTAAATTTTATTAAGAATCGGCTTAACCTGAAAACTTACATATAACCTATGAATTATTTAATACATATTTTAAGCGTACACTGTTAAAAATTGTTTGTTAACATTATTTTTGTTTGAGTCCAATTGTTGTAGGTGAACTTACTAGGGATGTTAGGTATAATAAATGTGTTACGAAGCACAGAATTAAAGCAGGCGTGAATGATAACGGAAATCCTTTATTTACGTAGAAAGACAGTTCGACATAGTGAACAATTCAGTCATAGCTACGAGAATCAGTTTTTGTACAATAAAGTCCATTATATATATTATATATATATTATAACCATTACATTAATAAAAATAATATGTATTAAATTTTACTACTGTTGACATTTTATTGGTATCAGCACATCGATTTTTCGACTATACATATATATAGTCGAAAATATATATATATATATATAGATAATGACAAAAGTTTACACGTTTCGCATTTGACATTGACATTTTGCGATTACTCACAATATGTCGCAAATGTACGATTCTAATTTAACGAAGGTAGAAAATCTAGTATATTCATAAATATCTAAATAACATCTCCCGATTGGTTCCGTTTTCATTTTCAAGTATTTCCCCCTCGTTGTGCATGGGGCGAACACATTCCTGTGTCCGCTTCACAGATCCGTTCTTTAACAGGCAATGATCACACTTCTGTGCCCTGCCCGACCGAAACAATTTTTTGTTTAACTGGGATTTGAATCCAGGACCTCTCGCGCTAACGCAATGGTAAGCAATACGTTTCACTATTTGGCTACAGAGGCGGAGATTTTTAAGTATTGTATGTATATATCTAACGCACAAACGGACAAACTTTTTCACATTACAACTTATGGTAGTCTGGCAACATCCAACGTATATATATAGCCTGTATCGTAAACAACTTATTTGTTTTTTCTTTTATCTGTTAAATAAAAGTTTTTAATTTAACATAGGGTAGTAGAACAATATTCTGCTATATCAAATTTTCTTGACCTTATTTTTAAAATACGGCAGGACTATCTGCTGTCCCAGACGTAAATTGAATAAGGCGTTATAACGTCGTTTCCTTCAGAAAATAGAAATGGATCAAAGCCTCAAAGACTACTACTTTACCCTTCGTTAATTTTTCTTTTGCTTTCATTTTAATAGACATAAATAATATTATATATATTAAACCAATATATTTTATTCAATGTGTATAATTATGATATAAATAAAAAATAGAATTATTATAACCAATATTTAATATTAAAAGGTCAATTTAAAGGGCATTTTAATGTAGAAGTGTCTGTAGTTATGCGAATGGTATACATTTTGAAAATTAACAGTTTAAAACGCGCAATACATTACTTTATTAAATGTACAACCTGAATTTTTGGGTCCTTCACAGAAGGTATGGTTACGGGATATATACATTTAATATCGCATTTTAATCCGTTAAGTGTTGCAATGTTATAAGCAGCAGTATTTAATATTTTTTTTAATCAAAATCATAATATATCCTAAATATATTTTTACTTTCAGACCGCAAAAGATATACATTTTTTTTAGTACGTATTAGGTACATATCGTTATTTTGAACGAACTCTTAAAATACCTTTTTATCTAGAGAAAGGTAGCGATAGCATAAAAAAATACTTAGTCCTTAAACCCATTTTATTAAATGGAATTTTTCTAATTTCAGATATAATCCCCGCACTAATAACTTTGATGCTATCGCTTCTATCAGCTCACGAAAACAAAAAACTGACAAAAACAGAAGCGTTACTTATACAGCAGTCCTTCATGTCACGGGTTGAGGATAGCCTTCCGCTGTTGGACGAAATAAAGGATTGTAAATGTCCCAGAATTTATGTGCCCGTATGTGCATCTGATCGTAGAAGTTATACCAACCGTTGCTGGATGGACTGCGCGGCGAGTAGAAAGAATATTGAACTAAGAGTGACAAATATGGGACAATGCGTTTGGTTCTTAATGCCTTTTGACTATTAACTGGAACCTTTGTTTCAAGGCGCGCATTTTAATGATATATTATATTGTAAAATACACATCCATAATTAATAAATGAGTTGTGAATTTGCATTGTATCTTATTAAAGAGAAAAGAAGAGAAAAAAGTCAAAAAATATGGATGAGAGAATGACTTCTATTTTCTAAGTTGTCTATCTTGTAAGATTAACTTGCAAGAATGACGGGACGACGTCGTAGATAACAACTTAAATTTATAAAGATGAAGCCTGCCCTAACGCGGACGAAGTAACTGGTCTAGCTAGTTTGTAATAAAAAGAAAATTACGAATGATTTATGTTATTTTTACAAAGTTAAATATTCAAAGTTTAAACGTAATATTTCATATTTTAACTATCGATTTAAATTTTAAAGAAATAACTTAATCATTACTTTACAGTTTGTAGCTTACGCAAGTAGTACACATTTAAATAATACATTATAAAAAAGTTTAAAACCCGAAAGTCTTTTGTAAAACTTGTTTACAAATTATTTTTACTACGGCCCGACGTTTAGAATACTTTGAGCAACCTACAAGACTAAAGATGGAGGATGTCCCTTATATCAAAAAACGTCCACAATTGTCGTCGTACAATTAAATATATTCACAAGTTAAACTCATTGTCAATTGTCAAAATTATCATCTGTTTAATTTTTCCCTTTATCTATGACATTTATTTTTTTATGTTACAAGCCAGTAATTGTTGAAACCCGTGAGAATCGACGCAAAGAACTCATTTTATGCCCAGGATTCGAACCTTTCGCGTTTAAGCAA